GTTACATACATCTCTATTTTCACACGACTTCAATATAGTGAATATAATATATATAGTGAATATAATAGTGAATATTCAATATAGTAGAAACTGTTGGCTACAATCACTAACCATACAGCATATAGACAACACATTTCATACAACAAAAATGGACGCAAAAATTTCTTGCGACAAACCCCAGCAGGCCCCAGAGCGAATTTGTTCTCTCTTTCTTACGCGAGAATTCTTATTAAATTGTGCTACAATACAACAATACAATGATACAATTATACAAGGTAGTCTCGTGCATAGGGTAGGAAATTCTGCCGCAACGCTGCCGGCACACGTTACGAGTAGTGTGAGCACGCTCAAATTTTGTAGAAGCTCTCTCATTTGCTCTCATTTATTAATTAATTTAGCATTAATTTAATCAGCGTACGTTGAACGCGTAATAACGGAACGAGTTTGTCTCTTCTCTATTTAAAAATAGTTTATCATTGTTTTTTATATCCCTCAATGTCCTATCCAATGCCTCAAGCGAATGTTTACGTGCCATAGTGCATTCATTCCAAATAATTATTTTACATTGTTTCGGCACTATGCCCATAGACGATTGTTTTTTTATGTTGCACACTGCATCTTGATTATTTTGAATGTTCAATGGCAGCTTAAGCGCTGAATGAGCTGTTCTGCCTACATGTAATAAAGTTGCTGTAATGCCAGAAGATGCGACTAACAATGCCTGTCATTTCTACAGTATCTTACTGTAGTTCAAGATTCATATCTTTGTTGAGTAAAAACGATGTCATTTGGAAGCATGAATTGAATGTTCGAATTGAATTCAAGGAAAAGGGTAGAATCTGGATTTGTACCGAGAATTAAACCGCGCACTGGTTCAGGCAGTGTTTCAATTTCGGGTTGTTTTACTTTTCCTGATGAACAACACATCCCAATTGGATCATTTTTATATTTGAGTGTATGACAATACGGGCATTCTGGTCAATTCTTCTTCTTTTAACTCTGACTCTGCGCGTTTCTGTTTGTTGCAGTTGTCTTCGTTGATTACTTTTATTTCGTGCCTCTTTCGATTGTGATTCACGTAACTGCGTCATGCTCACACGCGCATTTTCATGATCTTCTTCGATTTGTTCTCCTGATCTTCGTGCTCTTCTATCTCGCGCGGCTTTAGAATTGAACGTTCGCCGACTCAAATTGGCCCAATTGCGTGTTCTTGGCATGGCTGACTGTAGATCAGTGGTCGGCAGGGCCCTATTTGAGTGGCATGTGACACACAAAGAAATGAACGATAAGTTACGCTCACAGCCGCCTACTTACTGTTATACATTACTATATGTGCAGCCATTTCGGAGTATAATTTAATTAATTATTATATCCCATTCTTAACATTTAGGGAGATGAAAATTAGACGGAGCCCGATGTTCAGCCCTAACGGATATGTACACAAAATTTTACATCGCTCGAGCCATTTCAGAGGAGTAGAATGACTAACAGTGGACACGCTGTCGAACGGGATAAAAAGTATCCTACGTCCGTCACTATCAGATCTACCCTATCTATATTTTCTATGGAGAGGTTCCAACCCAATTTATGCGATTTTTTTTTTTTTTTTTAACATTTCGATTTTTAAGTTTGGGTGGTTAAACAAAAACGAAACTTATGTTTTTATTTCAAACCAAACGTATTAGTATTAAAACATTCCCAATCCCAAGAAGCAAACTTAAAATTGGTGCCTTGCTACTTCTTGGCCTTCTTGCTAACCGAAACAAAAATTCTACAAATCTAAAGCAGCACCGAAAGAGACTTCTACCGAGTTTCAAGAGTCACGCTGCAGCAGAAGCAAGAAACAGTCGCAGAATTTGAAGAGTTTGCGTCTGGGGCGGAGAAATGAATAGTCTTCGTCTCCGAGCAGTAAGTAAGCTGTACTCTATACGGGGGCCACCTTCCCACGACTGTTATGAAGTATAACGACTTCGTAGAGGTGAAGTTGGCTGTGCAACCGTCTTCTCTTTCTTTACTTCCCTCCAGCTTCTACAGTAATCATTGTGAGGCACCGATAATCTGGACGCTATGAGCCAGTGCCCAGTGATTGCTTCAATTCCTAGACGGCAGTCCTGCCTGTTAAGGGAAAAAGTGTCCTTCTGAGATACCCTCGAAGGTGAATGTCTGAAATGTTCGCAAAGATGAGTTGCAGAATATCGAGGTAGTCTTCCTTTTTCATAAGAAGAAGGTAGTCTTCCCTCATCTTCCTTCTTCTTCATCTATTTTTTTAATTGGTCCGACGCTCCACCAAGTAAAACAGCTACAGACCATGACATTTCCACCTCCATGTTTCACTGTACGTGGCGTCTCTACAGCGACTCATCTGGCTTCTTCCAACAATATTGTTTACCATCCGACTGGTATCGATTGAATTTAGATTCATCAGACCATATAACTTTTTTCCAGTCGTCCAAATTCCAATTTTTATGCGCCCTCGCAAAATTGTAACTTTTTTCAATCACTCACCATTTTGCTAAAAAATATATCATAAAAATCCTACGAGTGACGATAGCTGCTGATGTATAGAAACTAACCAAATTTGATTTTTTGTTCTCGATTTAAAATTAAGGACGTTAGCTGACCGGCCATTGAACCTCAAAATTTATTTTGAACTTCGCATCTAATATTGTAAAACCTAATTTACAAATTTTGGTTGGCTTGTTCATTTGGCCAACAAGTTACTCAGTTATTCCCCCCAGTTACTCAGATGTCCCCCCTTAAGTTCACAACTGAATCTTCAACGTCTCTAGGCAATTTCTTAATTTTTTTAGTACTAAATTTCATACATTTTTCATACATCCATTTTTCATACATCCATTTTTCATACATACATTTTTCATACAAAAGAGCCAAAACACGTGAGATTTCATGTGGTTTTAGTTAGATTTTATATTGTAATAAACTGGTTCTATTATGATATTGTCATAATGATCGGCCAACAACATCCGATTTGAGCCATATGTATCCGGTTTTAACTGCAAGGGTATATCAACTTCGGCTCCGTCTGAAGTTATCTTTCCTTTCTTGTTTATTTAATATTTTGTATAAGATTTTAAGGGGACCCACTTTTGTTTTATCCACAAATCAAGTTAAAAAGTAAATATCTTCACCGATTTGATTTATCCTAGTTCATACCAGAGCTATATGTGTATAGAATAATGTCTGAAAATTTGGAACCCATTGGATTAAAAGGTTTTAAGTAACCTCATGCGCCAGTCGTAAAACACAGTTTCGAGAAAACCGCGTTTAAAGTTTTGAGACGGCTCTCGCCGTCTTCTGACGCTTCCACCATAAATCGGCTATAACTTCAAGAGTTTTTATACCCTTGCAGAGGGTATTATAATTTTGTCCAAAAGTGTGCAACGCAGTGAAGGAGACATCTCCGACCCTATAAAGTATATATATTCTTGATCAGGATCACCTCCTGAGTTGATATGAGCATGTCCGTCTGTCCGTCTGTCCGTCTGTCCGTCTGTCTGTCCGTCTGTCTGTCTGTCCGTTTCTACGCGAACTAGTCTCTCAGTTTTGAAGCTATCGTCTTGAAACTTTGCACACACCCTTCTTTCCTTTGCACGCAGTATATAAGTCGGAACGGCCCGGATCGGCCGACTATATCCTATAGCTGCCATATAACTGATTGATCGGAAATGGTATAACTTTGGTGTTTTTAGAGTTAGAGAATTCAAATTTGACAAGAGAGCTATTTTTGGCAAACCATTACGACATGCCAAATTTCATAAGGATCGGCCGACTATATCTTATAGCTGCCATATAACTGAACGATCGGAAATGACCCAACTTTCGTGTTTTTGAAGATAGAAAGCTGAAACTTAATACAGATTATATTTTTGGCCAGATGATCCAACCTACCAAATTTCATTAGGATCGGCCGACTATATCCTATAGCTGCTATATAACTGAACGATCGGAAATGACCCAACTTTTGTGTTTTTGAAGATAGAAGTTTGGGACAATTTTAGGTTTCGTTTTTGTATTATAATAAATTGGGAAATATTATCATATTCTCATAAGGATCGGCCAACTATATCCGATGTTTGCGATATATATCCGGTTTTAACTGCAAGGGTATATAAACTTCGGCTCCGCCCGAAGTTAGCTTTCCTTTCTTGTTAAAATTTGAAATTTGAAAGAAACATTCTTGAAAAGTTATAAGTTCAAATTAAACTTAAAAAAAATCAGTTTTTGAAACCGAAAATGGGGGGAGGTCCCCCTTAATAAATATTCAAATAATAAACACAAAAAATTTCATTTACTACATTACTAACTTCTTTATGCGAGCCCAAAGTCAATAGTTGCAAACATGTACTTAGACTCAGATGTCCGCCAGAATCGCGGACAAAGACCACGTAATTTTTGACGAATTCTTTGAGGGTTCGTGAATTTTGGCGACCGGAACAACGACGACTTTAATGGAAAAGCTATCCAGGGCTTTTTTGTCGTGTGCTGATCCAAAAATTTAATTTTTCCACAAACTGTAAAAATTATAAAATTGTATCAAGCTATTGCCTATTGCGGCCGAATGTATCTTTTCTTTCTCGCTTTTCAATGAATTTAGTAAATAAACTATTCATTTAAAACAATACATTTTTTTAAAAAATTTTTGTTGAACGAACCTAAATATAATATAATTTTCTAGATACAATTGTAGATTTTTAAATGGTTAATTTATAATTTATGTCAGTGGTGCCCAAAACCCAATCACATGTGGTTGGAAATTTCTATGCCCAGAATCTGCCTGCATACCGAAATTGTAAACACTGTAAAACGCCTGTAGTCGTGCGTGTGCTTACGGGAGAATTCGAACACAAATGCAGTTGTAACATGTAAATGTATCTGTGTGGGCACCACTGCTTTAACTATGTATTCCTAAAAATTTCTACTACAAGTTTTTTTTATTACAAAATATACTAAAACCAATAATAAATTCCGATTATTTTCAGAGGATGTTGACGAGAATATTGAGTGCATTTCTCCAAAACTTCTTAATTCAATGAGCACGGATGTTGCCAAATTAAAAGCTAAACAGGCGTTGGATTCCGTTCCTAAAAATAAGCTAACACTTCTTATCAATTACGCAATGCGCAACATTTATTTGGCCAGGAATTACTTTGCTGGACCGGTAAAACTTTATAAATATGTTTTTTGTAAAAAAAAAAAATCAGCGATTAAACTATTATTATACTTATAAGTAAATGATAAAGAAAATTTCATTGCAGTAGTATCATTATATTTGTCCAAAAATATCCAACGGATCTGATCCCAAACATAATGCACACATGGTCACATAACAATGGGTAACCTTAAAAAAAAAACAAGAAAGGAAAGCTAACTTCGGGCGGAGCCGAAGTTGATATACCCTTGCAGTTAAAACCGGATATATATCGCAAACATCGGATTTAGTTGGCTGATCCTTATTATAATAAAAAATTTAAAACAAGTCCCAAACTTCTATCTTCAAAAATACCAAATTTGGTATTTCTACCAAAAACCATTTCCGATCGTTCAGTTATATGGCAGCTATAAGATATAGTCGGCCGATCGCTATGAAATTTGTTAGGTCGGATTAACTGACCAAAAATATAATCTGTACCAAGTTCCAGCTTTCTATCTTTAAAAAAAAGTTGGGTCATTTCCCATTGTTCAGTTATATGGCAGCTATAGGATATAGTCGACCGATCCCTATGAAATTTTGCATGTCGTATTATTTTGCCAAATATAGCTCTCATGTAAAATTCTCTAACTTAAAAATCAAATCAATCATCGGATTTAGTTGGCTGATCCTAATGAGAATATGATAATATAACCCAATTTATTATAATAAAAAATTTAAAACAAGTCCCAAACTTCTATCTTCAAAAATACCAAAGTTGGTATTTCTACCAAAAACCATTTCCGATCGTTCAGTTATATGGCAGCTATAAGATATAGTCGGCCGATCGCTATGAAATTTGGTAGGTCGGATTAACTGACCAAAAATATAATCTGTACCAAGATCTAACTTCAAACTAACTTTTATCTTCAAAACACGAAGTTGGGTCATTTCCGATCGTTCAGTTTTATGGTAGCTATAGGATATAGTTGGCCGACCGTTATGAAATTTGGTACGTCGTATTATTTTGCCAAAGATAAATAGCCTTAACTCTTTAACTAAAATAGCAACAAAGTTACAGCATATAACAGATTATATGGCAGCTATAGGATATAGTCGACCGATCCCGGCCGTTCCGCTTCTTTTAAAGAAAAGTTTAAAAACTAGAGACACACTAGCAAGGGTATAACAAGGAAGGAAAGGTAACTAGGTGTAGGCTGAAATTTTTCTCAATATTTCCGTTTTGGGGGCGGGATTGGGCGTGGCGAAATTCTTACGTAAACGATCTGCGTGGATACGTTAAGTGTCCCAGTTCAAAATCGGATAGTTATACCTCTTAAAGTCTTCGAGACCTACCCGTTCAAAATTTTAGCACGTTAGTTGGGAATGGGTATACGAGGTGTGTTCAAAAAGTAAGGTGACTTTGTATCTTCAAGAAAAACTATTAGTTAATTAATCAATATTTATGTTGGGGGCCGTCCATATATTGCGTGACGCAAATTTCAGACTTTTTTGACCCCCTCCCCCCCCTGCGTGACAAACCATGACACGAGGTTAGACCCCCGTGACCACAAACCGTGACGTTAACCCAGACCCTCTCCCCCCCCCAGGCGCGTCACGCAATATATGGACGGCCCCTTGTCCCGTTTTTCCAATCCCCAAAGCACTTCCCATAAGAACTTTTCGGTATAGCCTTCAGCTCTTCCAGCGATGCAAATCTCCTTCCTTTCATAAGTCTCTTCAATTTTGGGAACAAGAAAAAATCACATGGGGCCAAAAGGCATCTCTGAATATGGTGGCCGAGGCATCTCATTGTGGTGTTGTTTTTGGACAAAAAATCTCTCACAAGCAGAGATGAGTGAGCAGGGGCATTATCGTGATGAAAAAGCCATGAATTCTTTTCAAAAAAAGGCAATTCTGGACGTTTCTTTAGTACTGCTTCTCGCAAACGGCGCATAACTTCCAGATAATACTGTTCATTGACCGTACCATGGTAATCGAAGAAAACAGTGATCAAAACCTTGACATTTGATCGAACTTGGCGTGCTTTTTTCGGTCTTGCCTCACCTGGGCTCTTCCATTGGGACGATTGGTCTTTGGTTTCGATATCATAACCATATACCCATGATTCGTCACCAGCAAACTTTGCTGACACACGACTCGTGCCCAAAACGATTGAAAAAATTTAATGGCACGAGCCAAGCGATATACCGACATGTTCAGCAACTTCTCTGATAGTGATTCGACGATTTTCCAAAACAATTTTCCAAAAGCTTGAACGTTTTCATCAGTTGTTGACGTGCTTGGGCGTCCCGAGCGAGGCTCCTCATTGGCATCTTCCCGGCCATCTTGGAAGAGTTTGTACCACTTGTAGACATTTTTTTTACTCAGAACAGTTTTACTGTATGCCACTGTCAACATTTCAAGTGTTTTGGAGCACCTAATTTTATTTTTTACAAAAAATTTGATGTAAATCCTTTGATCAATATTTTTTGATAACAAAAAATCGCCGGGCACGCAAAACAACCTGTAACCTTTACGCCTCTCACAACCAAATAAAGGAGGGGATTCAATTAAAACTTGGTACAGATGTTAAGGAAAAAATCGTTAATCAAAAATATGTTGTTGGCGAAGTTTAAAAAGTCACGTTACTTATTGAATACACCTCGTATAAATGTTTATATCTCCTCCAAAAATGAGACGACTTAAAAATATCTTTCTATACTGTCGCTGCAGAAATATGCAAATAGACGAACGGGAAGGACGTGCGAAAAATTTGAAATAAAATTGACGTTCCTGTGGAAAGACGGACATGGATATATCGACTCGGCTGTTGATGCGGGTCAGAGATGATTCCTTTTCTATGTTGCATCCATTCACACGAATAAAATATAACCTTGTACTCTACGAGTACCGAGCATAAAAACTCAACATCTCTAACATTCAAAACAAAGATATGTCTATAGGATATAGTCGGGCGATTCCGGCCGGTCCGACTTTTGTACTGCGTGCAAGAAGGGTGTATGCAAATTTTGAAGTCGATAGCTTTAAACCAGAGGTCGGCACGGCCCTATCTCGGGGGCATAGGAAATTTCTCTGCCCGAGCTCTGCCACACACACACAGTATAAATGCGAGAAACGTCATGCTCACAGCCTACTTTCTGCTATTCGTTACTAACACTAAAGCGGTAAAATCATATCAATGTATTGGGGTGCCGACCACTGCTTTAAACCCAAGTCACTAGTTCGCATTGGTGGAAGAAGATAGCCAAAAGGAAAGATTATATCAACTCAGGAGTTAATCCTGATCAAGAATACAAAGTGATATAAAAAACAAGAAAGGAAAGCTAACTTCGGGCGTAGCCGAAGTTGATATACCCTTGCAGTTAAAACCGGATATATATCGCAAACATCGGATATAGTTGGCCGATCCTTATGGGAAAAGGAATATATAATCCAATTTATTACAATACAAAATCTAAAAAAAAGTCCCAAACTTCTATTTTCAAAAATACGAAAGTTGATATTTCTACCAAATACCATTTCCGATCGTTCAGTTATATGGAAGCTATAGGATATAGTCGGCCGATCCTAATGAAATTTGGTAGGTCGGATTAACTGACCAAAAATATAATCTGTACCAAGTTCCAGCTTTCTATCTTCAAAAACACGAAAGTTGGGTCATTTCCGATCGTTCAGTTATATGACAGCTATAAGATATAGTCGGTCGATCCTTATGAAATTTGGCATGTCGTATTATTTTGCCAAAAATCAAATTGTCAAATCTTATGTCAAATTTGAACTCTCTTACTCTAAAAACACCAAATTTATACCATTTCCGATCATTCAGTTATATGGCAGCTATAGGATATAGTCGGCCGATCCTTATGAAATTTGGCATGTCGTATTATTTTGCCAAAAATAGCTCTCGTGTAACTCTAAAAAGACGGGCATGCTCATATCAATTCAGGAGGTGATCCTGATCAAGAATATATGTTCTTTATAGGGTCGGAGATGTCTCCTTCACTGCGTTGCACACTTTTGACCAAAATTATAATACCCTCTGCAAGGGTATAAAAAATACAACAAAAATGTTATACACTTTGCGCAAATATTTTGGCAGTATAATTCTAAACACGACACAGAAACCTTGACAATTTAAGGAAAAATGTGACATTTACCACTTTCAAAATAAGACTTTAGGAACGATATAACTTTAACAACAAAACTATTTTTATATGATTGAGATGTACGTTTACTGAAAACAAAGTTTCGTTACTATAAACTCGTATTTATTATTAAAGAAATATTTCGAAATATAATTTAGTCCGAACTAAAAACAATTAACATTTAAAGGGTATGTTAAAAACATGCATTGGTGGTCATGCGTTAGTTTAAAGAGCTAAGGCTTGCATATTATTAGGATTATGTGTGTATTACCTCATAAGTCGATATTCGACTCCACCCGAAGTTAGCTATCCCTTCTTGTTAAAATTTGTTTTATAAAAAACTTATCAATTAAAAAAATGTACATAACATATATAACTGAAACAAAACTGCGTGGGCCTACAAACATGCTTCGGCTTTGACAGAAGATAACCAACCTAAATCATATTTCTAATAACATTTGCTTTATATTTCTTGTTTAATTATTTTTCAGGATGATGAAGAGCAATTAGTTGATGAAGAAGCAATTGATAAAATATTGCACGCAATGGATGCTTGTTTGCTTATATGTAACATATATTCTACAGTAAGCGATCTTACATTTTTACAGGAAGATAATATATCACATATTATAAAGTTTACTCAATTTCAACTGCGTGAAACTATATTTCCAATCCACGATCCGGTTTATACAGTAAAAAATATGAAGAAGCCCAATCACCGTAAAAAAATGAAGTCGCAACAAGCTCATAATCGCAGTCTACAACTTTTTTATTCAAAAACGGTTGAACTTTTGAAAGTTTTCGTGACCCTGTTTGACAAATGCGTTTTTGTTGATACGATAGTTTTGCCATTGTCTACGCTAGCTATAGAGCCATTTTTTGTTGATAATATAGAGAATCTGCAATTTGTATGCCTTGAGTTAGTAACCACGGTAAGTAAATTTTATATTGTAATATTATTATTTAATATTAAAGTAATAGTAATAAAAATACTACTATTTGTATAGTAGTAATAATCGTATATTTTGGCGCATATGAAGCTGGGAAAAATACAGAGAACGCCAGTTTAGGGTGCGAGTGCAAAGATATCACGAACGAGAGTGCGCTCGCTTTAGATAATTAGTTAAAGCCGAGCGGCCACGAAAGAGGGGTACGTTGCGTACGTTCCGTAATTAATTACGCATTATTAATTACACAGTGCGACCAAAAAAAAATTTGGAGGAACTTTTGAAGAGACCTAGTAGGAACCAAGATTATGAAGTACACAGATGGGACATCAGGGCCCAAAACGGTCAACTTTTTTCGTCGAGCTTGTTGGTGAGGGGGGAACGCCCATGCATACGATTCTATTTGTTGAACTCTTTACATGTATCCGTCAACCTTTGTATGTATTTGTATGTATGTATGTATGTATGTGTGACTGCTCGCACGACGGCGTAAAAATGTTTTGTCTTCCAAATTTCAATTTCAATTTCTCGTTTCTGTTTTCAATGCGCCGATGTGGTATATCAAGGGAGTCAAGGATATCAAAATATCAAGGGAGTCCTTCCGGCATTTCGTCATCCGCCATGTCCGTCACTTATTTTTACAACAATTGTAATTGAATGCAAATAAAAATAATAATAATAAAGTAAATACGACAAGTAAAAACAAAATATTAAAAAAAAAAAAAATATAAGTAAAAATAAATAAAAGTAAATATAAAAATAATCATAAACTAAAACTTTCTAAAAATTAGAACAACAACCCGCTCGTTCCAGCGAGTTCCAGCGCTGGAACCCGCCATGGAAAATTTTTCATTGTATGTGATGTCCCATCTATGTACTTTATAATCTTCGGAAGGAACTAGGAAGTCACGTTTTTCGTGACTTTTTTGCGTTTAAAAATTCCTAATTCCTATTCCTTGGTTCGTATTTTTTAGACTTTGACGCCTTTTTTTCGGTACAACTTGCAAGATACGCTGTTGTTTTTGATACATATTAATACTGTGTTATTAATCCTGAATAAAACGAGACTAATTTCATTACAAAACAAGAAAGGAAAGCTAACTTCGGGCGGAGCCGAAGTTTATATACCCTTGCAGCTAAAACCGGATATATATCGCAAACATCGGCCGATCCTTATGAAATTTAGTAGGATGGATCAAAATATAATCTGTACCAAGTTCCAGCTTTCTATCTTCAAAAACACAAAAGTTGGGTCATTTCCGATCGTTGAGTTATATGGCAGCTATAGGATATAGTCGGCCGATTCTTATGAAATTTGGCATATCGTATTATTTTGCCAAAAATAGCTCTCAAAGTTATACCATTTCCGATCAATCAGTTATATGGCAGCTATAGGATATAGTCGGCCGATCCCGGCCGTTCCGACTTATATACTGCGTGCAAAGGAAAGAAGGGTGTGTGCAAAGTTTCAAGACGATAGCTTTAAAACTGAGAGACTAGTTTGCGTAGAAACAGACAGACGGACAGACGGACATGCTCATATCAACTCAGGAGGTGATCCTGATCAAGAATATATATACTTTATAGGGTCGGAGATGTCTCCTTCACTGCGTTGCACACTTTTGGACAAAATTATAATACCCTCTGCAAGGGTATAATTATGATAATTGTTGAAGTTATTACGCTTTTCTCAAAAGAAATCAATGCATTCTTGCTACTAGCGTTCCGGAGCAATAGTGTGCCCTTTCATTTCGCTTATTCCTTTCTTGTACACACTTTTACTCCGGAGCGCTAGTAAAATTTTACTGACTTGTTTTGGGAATAGCGCTATAACTTTATAGCGTTGGCAAAAATTGAAAATTTCTGCGCCAGTACAGGAAGGTATTCTGAAAAGTTTTTGCTGCCAAACTATTCATATAATCAGTTTATAGCAGGAAATAAGATATAGACATTTGTCTACTGATTCCCATACTAACGCGTTAAAATTTAGCGTTAGCCGTCCTTTCTTGTTTTCTCCTCGATCTTTTTATACCCTTGCAGAGCGTATTATAATTTTAATTAATTGGTCAAATTTATAATTTGGTCAATAGTGTGCAACGCAGTGAAGGAGACATATCCGACCCTATAAAGTATATATATTCTTGATCAGGATCACCTGAGTTGATATAAGCATGTCGGTCTGTCCGTCTGTCTGTTTCTACTCGAACTAGTCTCTCAGTTTTAAAGCTATCGACTTGAAACTTTGCACACACCCATCTTTCCTTTGCACGCAGTATATAAGTCGGAACGGCCGGGATTGGCCGTCTATATCCTACAGCTGCGATATAATTGATTGATCGGAAATGGTATAACTTTGGTTTTTTTGCATGATTGACCCTATTTTTGGCAGTGCTTTTAAGATGGAAAGCTGGAACTTAGTATACATTCAATTTTCGGTCAGTTAATCTAACGTACCAAATTTCATAACGATCGGCAGTCTATATCTTATAGCTGCCATATAACTGAACGATCGGAAATGGTTTTTGGTAGAAATACCAACTTTGGTATTTTTGAAGATAGAAGGTTGGGACTTTTTTTTAGATATTTTATTGTAATTAATTGGTTTTATTATGATATTCTCATAAGGAGCGGCCAACTATATTCGATTTTTGCGATATATATCCGGTTTTAACTGCAAGGGTATACAAATTTTGGTTCCGCTAACTAACTTTTATCTTCAAAACACGAAGTTGGGTCATTTCCGATCGTTCAGTTTTATGGTAGCTATAGGATATAGTTGGCCGACCGTTATGAAATTTGGTACGTCGTATTATTTTGCCAAAGATAAATAGCATTAACTCTTTAACTAAAATAGCAACAAAGTTACAGCATATAACAGATTATATGGCAGCTATAGGATATAGTCGGCCGATCCCGGCCGTTCCGACTTATATACTGCGTGCAAAGAAAAGAAGGGTGTGTGCCGATAGCTTTAGTTTCAAGTCGATAGACAGCCGGACAGACGGACATGCTAATATCAACTCAGGAAGTAATCCTGATCAAGAATATATATACTTTATAGGGTCGAATATATCTCCTTCACTGCGTTGCACACTTCTGGAAAAAACTATAATACCTTTTCCAAGGGTATAAAACAAATACTAGAAAACATAAATGAATACAGCAAGTCTCTTTCTCAAAGCGAGGGACTATGAACTTTTTTGGTTGTGCTCGCAAGGAGAGACCAAGAAGAAAAATGGTCAACAGTTATTTGCGAGGTCTGAATTTGGTTTTTGTTGTTGATATTTTTACTTTTACATGTAAACGCAATTTGAACAAGCCAAAAATATGTATTTGTTTTTTCCAATAGACAATTCCTCTTCAAGCTGTAAAAATTATTCTTGTTATATCGGAATAATTCCAAATTTTATATATTTTTAAATACATAAATCTACTAGAGACACGGCACTATCATATGGTCCAGAAGTCGATTTTTAGGCATAAATTAAAAAAATAGAGTTACAGACCTAAAACTTTGCCTTTTGTGTAATAATAAAATGATAATAATTAAAAAAAATTTTAAGACTGCGACCACGCCTCCTATTGCATCCCATACAAACCGATTCGTAGTATTATTGTTAGAAATTGAGTATGACGCTGAATTAAAAAAATATACATATTTAAATTCATTTTAGAAATATCATAAAAATCTATATATACAGTAGCGGACGATGAAATTCGGACACCTAAGTACTTGCACTAAATGTAAACTTTGCACTAGTGTGGTAGGAGCACGTGTTATCATGATCTGAAAGCATTTTTTAAATTATTAAACTTCTTAGGATAAAAAAAAATTTTTTTATTTTAAATATGTCGAAAATGACTGAGAATTTCCATATTGGTCTCATATTGGGGTCATATTGGCCTCAATCGAAAATCATAAGCTTCCGAGGAATAAGCCGAGGTCATATTGGCCTCACAATCCAGCTGTAACGCTGGATTTATTAAGTCTTCTTTTGAGGATTTCCTACAACATTTTGAGAAAACCAGAACTCTAAAGCATTTGCCAGGATCAGGAAAGAAAAATAAGACCAAATACCACGAGTATCGAATCCTTTCACGATTAAGTATGACTGATCGTTTCAAATCAGCAAAAAATTTAAGAAGTAAGTTTTAACAGTTGAAAGGAGTCAAAACATGCACTCGAACCGTTCGAAGGAACATTGAGGAGGCAGGACTTCATGGCCGCCGAATAGCGAAAAACCCAGTCTTGACCGCAAAAATGCTCCAGAAAAGGCAACAGTGGGTCAAAATGCACGAATCTTGGACTGTACATGATTGGCGAAACGTCATTTTTTCTAACGACACCAAAAGAATCCATTTGGCTTACAATAGTATGAGCTACGTGCGCCCCAAATGCGTCAAACGCTTTAAAAATAATTGCTTACGGCAAACGGTCAGGCAAGGAGCATGCCGAATGGTCCGGGGATGCTTTTCTTACTATGTATGGCGTTGGTTATCTGGCATTAATTGATGGAACTGTGAATGCTGAAAAGTTCCAAGGTGTTCATAATCGTCACCTTCTACCCTCAATTAAGGAGCATCTTTCTCATGCCCCAAACTTAATCTTTCCGGACGACTCAGGTCCTTGCTATCGTGAAAAAAAAGGACCTTAATTTTTTAAGAACTGTTTAAACGATAATTAAAGTTCTAAATTTCTAGTATTTTATTTTAAACATAGGTTATAGATTATTTGCAGAAAAATCGAATACCAACATTAGACTGTCCTGATTTCCATCTGTAGTCCTGATTTCCATCTGTTGTATTTTTAGGTTGATTAATAGTTTTATTTAAGGATGTTTAATAGGAATCAGATTTTACACGTTGTTGGCGATAGAGGTGACAGAACAGAAGAGAGGCTTAGAGGAGATACTTATAGAATAACAATGCTCGCGATATATATATGGTTGTGCTGCCAATTGTATTTCGAATACTATCCGATTCAA